CTGTAGATTGCCGAAAATCTCACTTCGCAGCCGGCTGGAAATAGTGAGATTCACCGTCTTGAGCCCAAGTTGCGATTGCATCTGCACGCGAAAACATGATGTGGTCGGGATATTTTCTCTCCACTCTGCATTTGGACCAAAATATGGGAGCAAGTGTCAGCACCCGGATCTTTCAAGTTGGTATGTCTTGTTTACGAGAGCTTTGAATTGAATCGTACTTAGTTCGAAATCTACGGTCACACCATGGTTGACTATGTCATGAAATCCATGTCCATCAGAAGCGGGGCCTCCAGACCCACGATTTATACAGGGAAGTCACACTCTTGGCCGTCAGTATATCCTAGAATACAAGCATGGCTAATGGATTTGGCCGTTTGGCTGTTCCCGAATGTGAATTCGATAAAGGGCCCGAGAACCAGCCATACGGTTCTTACTTGTGATCATGAGCATGGTGGCTTGCCACACCTCAGCCATCTCCAAACCCATCATCGACGAAGTCGCTCCTGAATCCAAGATACCCCTGAAGGTCCCTATCATCTAGCATCTGAGAGGCCATGAACACACCCACACACACACACACACACTTTCTACTTCGCAGCGCGGCAGAGGCAGTCCGCACGCGCGCTCGGGCAAGCCAGGTGACGGCATTGCGAATTGCTGGGATGCAGAAGGGGAAGAGGATCGGCCGCGGGACGAGGGGAAGGACCTAAAGCGTTCACGCAGCGGGGACCGCAGCGCGGCGCCCAGGGCGGCCAAGCCAGTGCTGCACCCCTATGAACACACACACGCATGTTGATCGAATACGACTAGAACGCACCCGATACCTTGCCGAGGTCTTATGATCTTAGTCGCATCTTTGTCGCAGTCGATCGTATCTTGATCGCTGGAGGTCGCATCTGGATCGCTGCTGGTCGTATCTTCTTCGCTGTAGGTCGCATCCAGATCGTAGTGGGTCGCGTTTTTCTCGCAGTCGACCATATCTTTGTCGCTGTAGGTCGCAACTGTGTCGCTGTAGATCTTGATCGTTGTAGGTCGTTTTTGGCGGTGAGATAGTGACCATGGGTGCTTGCATTTCCGGCCGTGCTGAAGTTTGGCTGGTGACGTGCAGTCTCGTGCGATATGGCCGAGCCCGCAGCACCTCAGGCACATGATGTTCGGGCCCTTGTGCCAGTCTTTGTCCCGCCGTGGGCGCGTGCTGGCTGAGCTCGGTGAGCCACGAGCGCGACCAGCGTTCCGTCCGGACTCCTTTGTCCAATGACGAGTGCTTGCCCTTGCCGTTGCCGAACAACATTGCGGTCCGTACTCCTGCGACGGAGGAGCTCGCGAGCTTCCTAGGATGATCGTTGACCATGCTGAGCTGTTGCGAAAACAGCTCCCCCGAGTAGTTCCTGTCGTATCTCCCAGTTTTCTCCATCTTGATCGTAGATGGCCTGTAGCTGAGAGCCGAGCTCCTCGTCTTCGGTGGCCGCAAGCGCCTTGGCAGGCACAGCTTCTGGAGCTTGGTCCTCATATCCGTCATCGTCTGAATCGTGCAGTGTTCTTCACCGCCGTCGTAGTGCTCCTCACCCTCCGCCGCGTAGGTCTTAATGCGGTTCTACCTCTGAGGTCGGCCCGGACGTCGGCTTCCGTCACGCTCGTGCTTGTTGTCGAACTGCATGCGTAGGGCGGGCTGGATGGAAGAGTAATTACCTGTATTTGTTCTGAAGTGAGGCCTGCATCTTTCAGCGTTCATGATCATCCAGCCTTGCATCCTCGAGGAGGAACCACGATCTCAGAGGTTTTGGAGACAGCGGCCTCTTGTCGTCGAGAGTCCTGTCGGTTGTTTCGATTGCCTTCTGCAATGTGTCCTCGTCCACTTCGAGCTGCGTAACATGTATCGCATGCCAGTCCTGTTCTTCCGATACGTATCCCTCACGAAGGTCCTCATACGTCTTCCTGCATCCCCTGCCTCCAGCATGCTGCTCTGGTCCTCACGGAATTGTAGGATCTGGGCCACTCCGATGGGCAATTTCGCCTGGGCATGCTCCGCCATGCCGTCGCGAGTGTCCGGCCTGCAACATCTCTGAACACTTCACCGTGCGCGGCCCTGGAGGTCCGCCATCGGCCTCGGGCCACAGAGACCCTCCTCGTCCGTCTTGGTGCCGCGCGCGTAGCGCTTAGCTCGCATGGTGCAGGCAGGAGTCGGAACCGGCCACGCCACCATCCCCGGAAGGAGCGGTCTCGTGCTTTTGGTCTTCTGTCGTCGCGACAAGCCATAGGGGGGGCCTGCGCTACCAACTCGATTGTCTCCGAGATGGCGGCGGCCTCGTCGTGGCAATCCTCGAGGAGAAGTCATTGTCTTGATCATTTCGTTGTCCTTTAAGCTCGCACAGATCCGAAACTGATTTTTCGATATCTTTGGTAGCCCCTGATAAGACGTGTGCTTCAGCACGCTGGTCGCCAAGGAGGCGGGGGCCGGTAGCATCTTATTGGGACTCAAGAGCGCCTTCGAGCCACAACGTCAGCGGAAGGGGGTTGGGTGAGCAGAGGGCGTGGGTCCGAGAGGTCAACGTGCAATGTCAATTACAGGGGGGGGTCCAGAACCCCACCTCCCCCCCCAGCCTTTCGCTGCTGGCAAACAACGACGGCGAGCACTGGTGCTGGAAGACGACGAAGACGATTCCGGGAAGGGGGGGTGCAGAACCCCACCCCCCTTCCCCCAGCAAGTCCCTGCTGGCAAACGACGGCGATGGCGACGGTGAGCACCCGCGCCGGAGGACGATGACGACGACAGATGACAACAGACGACGCCGAGGACACGGATAAAGGACGACTGACGACGGACGACGACCGACGACGACGACGACGAACGACGAACGGCGAACGACGAACGATGAACGACGAAAGACGACGACGACGGCCACAGCCACGACGGACGCCGACGTCGGCGACGTCCGACTGACCGACCGATCGACGACGACGACGACGGACACGACGTCAACGACGTACGACGAGGGACGACGGACGATGAGCGACCAACGACGGCGACGATGGACGGCGGCGACGACGACAATGACGACGACGGACGACGGACGACAGACGACAGACGACCGACGATCGACGACGGACGACCGACGAACGTCGCACGACGGACGACGTCGACGACAACGAACGACGAACGACGACCGACGAACGATGAACGACGACGACGACGATGACGACGACGACCACGACAACGACCACGACCACGACGACAACGACGGACGACGGACGATGGACGACGGACGATTGGTGACGGACGAAGACGGATAACGGACGACGACGACGGACGACGGAAGCCGCTGTTGATGACGTCGACGAAGCTGACGATTGACGATGGACGACTGGCGACGGACTTTGGCGACGACGACGCGGACGACAACGACGACGGGAAACGACGACGGGTTCTCCAGTGGAGAGCAGATCATGCATCATACGTTGTGTAACGTCCCGGCCATGCGACCCGACCCGCCCGCTGGGGTCCGCCCGACCCGACACGGTCAACACGAGTCCGCCCGCGCGCCCCGCCCCGCCCGTCAAGGTCTGTCTGCTCGACCCGATCCGCCCGCGGCGACTCTCGCGGGACAGCTCGAGCGTTGCTCCCACGCCCCGCCCGCCCGACCAGACCCGCCCGCGAGGGCCCGCCCAGCCCGCCCTGCTCGTCAGCGGGGCCGCCCGCGCGACCCGCCCCGCCCGCGAGGAGCCCGCCCGACCCGACTTCCGCCGGGGCCCGCCCGACCCGGCCCGCCCGTTGGGGCCCTCGCGTGCCAGCCCGGTGATGCGCCATAGTTCAATGTCCCGCTCGCCCAGCCCGACCCGCTCGTTGGGGTCCGCCCGCCCGACCCCGACCTGCCCATCAGGGTCCACCCGCCCGACCCGAGCCGCCCGTTCGGGCTCTTCAGGCCCAGCTCGATGCGTGCATCGTAATTGGATGTTCCGCCCGCCCGACCAGACCCGCCCGTTCGGGTCCGCCCGCCCGACCCGACCCGCCCGTCAGCGCTCTTGTCTGCCAGTTCGATTATGCATCATACTTTATTGTCCCGCCCGCCCGACCCGACCCACCCGTTAGGTTCCACCCGCCCGACCCGACCCTCATTTTGTCAGTGCTCACAGAAGGCGCTCTTTCCCAGGTCACTTCGACTTCTCTGTATTGAGTAGAATAGCCAGGATGGGCACCAAATAACAACTCTTGCACTCTTGCGCTTCCGATGTACTGTGAATGCGTTTCAAGCTATGTCAAGCGGGTTGTGTATGGTGCAGCATTTGAAATATGTGGTGAAGCGTACGAAACTATGTGGTGCAAGCTTTGTCCGTCGTTCGTCAGTTGTCGTCCGTTGTGGTCGTCGTCGTCGTCCTCGTCCTCGTCGTCGTCGTCGTCGTCCGTCGTCGTCCGTCGTCGTCGTCGTCGTCGTCTTCGTTGGTCCGTCGTCCGTCGTCGTCGGTCGTCGTCCGTCGTCATCGTCGTAGTCGTCGTCGTCGTCATGACCATCATCGTTGTCGTCGTCGTCATGACCATCGTCGTCGTTGTCGTCGTCGTCCGTCGTGGTCGTCGGAGTCGTCGTTCGTCGTTGGTCGTTCGTCGTCGTTCGTCCGTCGTCGGTCGTTCGTCGTCCGTGTCTGTCGTCGTCGGTCGTCGTCGTCGTCGTCGGCGTCGGCGTCGGCGTCGGCGTCGGCGTCGTCGTCGTCGGCGTCGTCGTCGTCGTCCGACGCCTATGCTCGCTGTCGTTGTTTGCCAGCTGCGAGTGGGGGGGCAGGGGGTGAGTCTGTGTCCGGCTCGGGGGTAGGAATTAATGCCGGGGGGGTCGGGTGGGCGATTCTGGTGCGGTTTGCGGGATTCGTTTTCGGGGGGTGGGGGGGGTGGTCGTTTTCGGGTACGGGTAACCCCCCTAAGAAGAAGTATTTTTCAGGCTAGTGGCCGTGTAACGCGCTCTCGGACCTGAGGCCAACCTATTTCGTGCCCTCGGCGCAGTGGCGGATACAAGGCCGGTGACCAGGGGACGATCTTTGGTGTCATCCCGGACGAGCAGGGACAGGACGGAAGGGCCGTCATCTTGTGGTCGCACAGCGGGCACAAAACCGAAGTGCGGCTTCATACCTTAAAGGACCACTTTTCGCGAGTGGAGCAGCAGAAACGGGACGCAACGCTGCCCGCGATGCTAGTTGGAAGTACCACCTCTGGCTTCGTGTTCGCGCTCGACCTCGCAAGTGGAGATGAGCTGTGGGCAACCTGGGTCTCGAACGATATCGCTGGCGTCAAGGGGTCTGTGGCGTGCAAGGGCGGCATCGTAGTGGTTGCAACCGACCGGTGTACTGACCGGTATTGCTACAGGTACCGTAACCAGACTAATGTCCTGACGCCAGGTAATGCCGTGGTGCGGGGCCTGAGTGCCGCGGACGGCAGTTCCGTCTGGTCCTACAAGACCTTCCAGCCCACGTGGAACATGATCCCACTGTGGGGCCCGGGAGACTCCGTGATGTTCCAAGATTGGGAGGGCAGGGTGTACAGCTTGAACTACCTGACTGGCAACCCCAATTTCATGGTCGGCGGTGACATCGGAACGCACACCAATGCGCACGCCGTGTACGACTCCAACCACAACGTCGTTGTTGCTTTAGGCGTGAAGTTTTACACCTCGGGCCGTTGCAACCCGTACCCAGCGCCTGGCATCCTCCCCTCGTGCTGGACGTGGCCAGGCACCAGGGGCTTCATCCGCGGCTACAACGCCAGCTCTGGCAGGAGGATCTGGGAGGTGCAGACGCCGGAGCCGCCGGCCAGTGGCACCGCTGCCATGCTCAACACCCCCGCGTTCCACACCCGCCTGGTGGTCACCCTGGGCCACAACTGCTACCTCGGCTCCCCCACGCAGATCTGGGGCCTTGATCCCGACGACGGCGACATCAGAAGAGCAAGAAATGGAGCAGGCGTAGGCTTTCGGAGGTGCGCGCGGACTTCTCTAGTTCAGGAGGGAAAGTAACACACAGACATAATGAATCGTCAACTCCCAGGAGAACATGGAAAAATATGGGACTTGGGGGTGGAAGATTACGAAAACCCAGAAAATATTGGAAAATATGGGGAATCCTGTTATTTGTGTCTATTTGTGTGTCCCAGGGCCCCTTCACTAGTCTGAGCAGGACGCCCCTCCCCACACCGTGGAAATCCGCGCGGTCCTCCTAAACTTTATGCTTGTGCAGTTTTCGGTTCTTCTGTACATCCGGTGGAAGAACGACGGCCCAACGCTCTGGACCGACTTCTGTGCCGGCGACAAGGAGGGTGCCGACGTTCGCCGGGCCATGGGCGGCCGCGAGAAGTGCTCGCCGAACAGTTGGTCCATGCCAGTGGTGGATTCGATGGGCGACATATACGTTGGTAACCAGGTCGGCCAGTTGATGAGGTACGGCTTTGCGGGGGCTGAGTACCGATCCGAGCTGCTGTCGACTCTGACGACCGGCGTGGCCTTCCAGGATGCAGCCATTGCGTTCGGCGCAGGCGTCATGGCCGTGTCCACCTGCACCTCCCTCATTGTTTTTCAGACCATGGCAGGATTCGAAAATAAGACCTGGTCCATTTCACACAGTGATTACTCACCGATCTCCAACATGGTCCATGGCGAAGACATCTCGCACGAAATCTCGGAAGAAAGCCACGACGACATCTCAGTCATGCCGAAAGTAGACTCGGACGACATTTGGTCTAACGATCAGCCTTTCTACGACCCGAGCGTTGACGGTCATAGCTATAACCGAAGGGTGGCGAAAAACATCACGTATTGAGCGTGACGCAGGCCCAGGGCAGCCCACCAGCGCGACAGCATCATATCCTCTCTTTTTCCTCCTCCTCCTCCTCCTCATCCCTGCTCCTCCCTGTCCTGCCCTCCTGCCTTTCGCCTCCTCCCTCCCTCTTTCTCCTCCGTCCTCCTCTTCCTCCTCCTCGCCTCTTCGCATGAAAGTGGCGCACGGCAAAGAGGTTCCGCACAGTATTTCTTAAACCAGCCACGGGGATATCCCGGTCATTCCGAACATTGATTCGGATGATACATGGTCACCAGATCAGCACTGCCAGCGTGTCGGCGCCGCGTCTTGAAGTTTGACGTGTGCCGGTAGGCACGACCTGTCTCGCTTGCGCACGATCTGCCCGCCAAGCCAATGCAGGCCCGCATAAGACTGCGCGCGGATAGTTTCTGCGGGGAGGGAACATACGTATGCACCACCAGACATCCACAGGCCCATTCTGGGCCAGAGCATCCTGTATAAGTGGCCTCCCAGGCTCGGGCGAGAGCTAGCAGCATACACCAGGGTTTGCCCCCAGGATTGGCCTGTGGAGGCCCTGCGGTGGCGTAATGCGTTCCTTCTCCTTGCGAAGGAAGCTACTCCAACTTTTATAATAAAGGGGGGGTCTGATTTGGGGAGGGGTCTGGCTCAACCTGTCTTGGAGACAGGGGGTCGGGTCTGAGTTTGATGCCCGAAGGAGTCCCGCGGGGGGGGTCTGTTTCGATCTGTCTGATGGAGGTCGCCCCAGACGGGGGGGGGTCTAAAATGGCTCGTCTGGGAGGTTTGTGACCCCCCCCCTCTATTTTAAAAGTTGGAGTACCTTCCTCGTCTCGGCCCGGCGTTACCTCAGCAGGGGCAGTACTTGACGGGACCTGCTCGTGCTCCTCCTCGCGCTGCTCCTCCCGCTCCGCTCCTGCTCTCTCCTCCCAGATGAGGGTCGCCTCCGCCCCCGAGCCGAGGGAGGTGCGGCGAGGAGACTGGATGGGGAGCGTCCGGGGGCGAGGCCCGGGGGTTCGGTGCTCTCGGGGGAGGGGGGGAGGGGGCAGCGGACGGCAAGCGCGCAGGCGAGGCAGCAGGAGGAGAGCCCGCACGAAACGGCACGACAGTCAGCGCGCCCAGTAAGGACTCGGAGTTGGATAGACCTCCTACCCTGACACGTCGATTAAGGAATCGGCCGTTTTCGGTTCGCGAGAGGGCGCCGCGGCCGTCATTGTTGCGGGTCCAGGTCCGTCGGTTTCGGTCCCAGGCCGTTTTCACTGAGGGGAGGTTTACTAAAGGGAGGTTTGTCCACCGCCGAAGGACGCGCGCCTTCATCCAGGGTACCCTTGTGTCCTTGCCTCTGAGGCCCGTCCTTTGCCACTACCACAGGTCGCCCGCCGCCCTAAGAAAACCCAACTTCGGCCTCCGAGGGTCTTGCGTCCTTACCTCGCGTCCTTGCTATACGTTTTGACTGTAGCGCTACGCTACTCTGTCATCTTCACAAACGCCACTCCCTCGGGAGCTCCGAAGACGACGCGCTGCTCCGTCCCCCCTCGCTGGGCAGCCACCTCCCAGGTGCCGCTGAGATCTCAACCCCCATGTCCTTGCAACGGGAATCTTCCTGTCGCCATGTGCAGCGGCGTGGCAGGCGCAGCGGCATGGCATCCGCGCAAGGCGTGGCAGGTCAACTTCTTTCACAGCCTTACTTTTGGCGGCTGCTGGACATATCTATGGTGATTTGGCTTCCCGCTTTTCAATTTGGTTTGCTGAAGCTCGGCCGTCACTGTATGGCGCGTATCGGAGCGTTTGTAAAACAAGAGCGGTCTTCATCGCTGATATTATCGTTCTCAGTATTTGAGCTCGTCCTCGTTCTCCTCCCCGCGCGCCCTGGTTCTAAACTCATTACCGTGTCGAGCTGTCCGGAGAGACTGTGGATGTTATAGGGTAGTTATGGTTCAGTTAAGCATTGATTGTCTTGCATCCGATTTATCCCATATCGCACGCGCTCTCGTGGGGCTAATGCCGTTTCATGGTATTGCATGTGGTGTGTGTGTGTGTATGCGTGCGTGCGTGCGTGCGTGCGTGCGTGCGTGCGTGCGTGCGTGCGTGCGTGCGTGCGTGCGTGCGTGCGTGCGTGCGTGCGTGCGTGCGTGCGTGCGTGCGTGCGTGCGTGCGTGCGTGCGTGCGTGCGTGCGTGCGTGCGTGCGTGCGTGCGTGCGTGCGTGCGTGCGTGCGTGCGTGCGTGCGTGCGTGCGTGCGTGCGTGCGTGCGTGCGTGTGTGTGTGTGTGTGTGTGTGTGTGTGTGTGTGTGTGTGTGTGTGTGTGTGTGTGTGTGTGTGTGTGTGTGTGTGTGTGTGTGTGTGTGTGTGTGTGTGTGTGTGTGTGTGTGTGTGTGTGTACGCGCGTGCGTGTGCAATGCATTTGTCTAGATGATGCTACTGCGATTTTTAATGGCCTTCGGCCCACCCCGCCACCGCGCCTGAGTTGTGAGCGAGAAGCCGCTTGGATGTTCGTTGGGACCTCGTGGGAGGCCTCTCGGGGGCCGCCTGGAGGCAGTTTGAGGCCTCTGGAGTGCAGTTTGGGGGCCTTTTGGGGGCCCCTTGGGGTCCTCTTGAGGGCCTCTGGGGGCCTCTTGGGGGCTTCTGGGGGGGCCTCTTGGGACATCCTGCGGGCCGTCTTGAAGGCCTCTCGGGAGCCTCGTGGGGGCCTCGTGGGGGCCTCTCGGGGCCTCCTGGGGGCCTCTCGGGGTCGAGGGCTCGAAGTGTTTGTTTATGTCCCCCGTCTGGCCCCCTCTCGGAGCCGTCTTGGGGCCTCTTAGGTCGTCTTGGAGGCCTCTCGGGCTGTCTTAAGGGCCCTGTGGGGCGGTCTTGGAGGCCTCCTGGACGCCTCTCGGGCTGTCTTGGGGCGATCTTGGGGGCCTCAAAAGCCGTCTTGGAGCGCCGAGAAGCCGGAAAGGCGATAACGCCAAAGTCTTCCAACAACCAAAAACATATCAACGAATTCTGCCTCTTGGGGCCCTCCTGGGAGGCCTCTTGGAGGCCTGTTGGGGCGTCTTGCGGGCTTCTTGGACCGTCTTGGGGCCACCTTGGTCAGCGTGTTGGACCGATCGTGCGGCGATTCGGCACCTCTTGGAGCCTGAATCGACGATCTTGGGCCGTCTTGGGAGCCTCTTGGGGCTCTCTTGGCCCGTCTTGGGGCCTCCATGGGCCCGAACAAGTCACGCGGCAGAACGCGACAAACCCCAGGAAGCAAGCGACGCGCCCCGGACGATTCGGCAGTTGTGGGTCCGGGCCGCTGAAGCCTCAGGATTGAAGACTGATGCTCCAGGGGATCCAACGTGGGACCTGAGGGCATGTCTCAAGGGCGCGGTGGCGGATAAGAATGAAAGCGTTGTTATCTAACAGCTTTTGCTGATAGGTTTCTAGTGGTCTCAAAAGAGAGCATCTTGACGCCCCAGGGGGGTCTGGGCGGGATCCGGACAAAACCGGACAGATCCGGCAGCCCCAGGAATCCTTAGGAATCCTTCGGAATTTTTAGGAATCCTTGGGAATCTATTCCCAGAACACCATTCCCAGTCCACATTTTGAATGCCCGGAGCCAACCGTAGGCCACTTCGTGTTCTTCGTGTTCCCAGAACACCATTCCCGGGCCACATTTTGAATGCCCGGAGCTTACTGTAGACCACTTCGTGTTCTTCGTGCTCCCAGAACACCATTCCCAGGCCACCTTTTGAATGCCCAGAGCCAACTGTAGGCCATTCGTGTTCTTCGTGTTCCCAGAACACCATTCCCGGGCCACATTTTGAATGCCCGGAGCCAACTGTAGGCCATTTCGTGTTCTTCGTGTTCCCAGAACTTCATTCCCAGGCCACATTTTGAATGCCCAGATCCAACTGTAAGCCACTTCGTGTTCTTCGTGTTCCCGGAACACCATTCCTGTACCATATTTTGTTTGCCCGGAGCCAACTGTGGGCCACTTCGTGATCTTCGTGTTCCCAGAACACCAGTCCTGTGCCATATTTTGAATGCCCGAGCTGAGGCAGGCTGAGGCTGAGGCTGAGGCAGTGGCTGAGGCTGAGGCAAGCTGCGGCTGAGGCAGACTGAGGCTGAGGCTGATGCAGGCTGAGGCCGAGGCAGGCTGAGACTGAGGCTGAGGCAGGCTGAGGCTGAGGCTGAGGCTGATGCAGGCTGAGGCTGAGAGGCTGACGCTGAGGCTGAGGCAAGCTGCGGCTGAGGCAGGCTGAGGCTGAGGCTGATGCAGGCTGAGGCAGGCTGAGGCTGAGGCTGAGGCTGAGGCAGGCTGAGGCTGAGGCCGAGGCAGGCTGAGGCTGAGAGGCTGAGAGGCTGACGCTGAGGCTGAGGCAAGCTGCGGCTGAGGCTGAGGCCGAGGCTGAGGCTGAGGCTGAGGCATGCCGAGGCAGGCTGAGGCTGAGGCTGAAGCTGAGGCAGGTTGAGGCTGAGGCTGAGACTGGCTGAAGCTGAGGCAAGCTGCGGCTGCGGCAGGCTGAGGCTGAGGCTGATGCAGGCTGAGGCTGAGGCCGAGGCTGGCTGAGGCTGAGGCTGAGGCCGAGGCAGGCTGAGGCCGAGGCAAGCCGAGGCAGGCAGGCTGATGCTGAGGCAGGCTGAGGCTGAGACAGGCTGAGGCTGAGGCTGAGGCTGAGGCTGAGGCTGAGGCTGAGGCTGAGGCTGAGGCTGAGGCCGAGGCAGGCGAAACCTTCGGAATCCTTAGGATTCCCTAGGAATCCTTAGGAATCCCTAGGAATCCCTTAGGAATCAGGATTTCTCAGGATTCCTAAGGTTTCCTAACGATTCCTAAGGATGCCTTAGGAATCCCTAGGAATCCTTAGGATTCCAATGGATCCTAAGGCCGTTGCCACTGCGACTGTCACTGCGAATGCGACTGCGACTGCGAGAACAGCAGAATTTTACAACTGCATTCTCACCTGAATCTTAAGGGGAATGCTTCCAGATATGCTTATACACATCGCTGTTAGGTTGCTTTGCCGGGATAATCGGATTTTGAAGGTTACGGCTTCCGTGTGTTACCGAGTATCACATTCCATATACAGCAACACGTCATGCTCAGCTCACAGCGGAACCATTTGAGCTGGCATCGTGGTATGCATCAATGTGCGCGAAAAATCTGAGTGAGGGGGCTGAAATGTCCTACGCTGTCCTTGGGTGCGTGGCTGAAGTGGGCTTCGCGGTGCGGACTGTCGTCGTTGTTGGATCTCCACCTTTTAGGAATAAGTATAGTTGATCCCCCGTCCGGCGCGCATTGTTTTGTTCAATTGAAGTGCCTCCCCAGGGTTCGCATCCAGTATTTTATCGGGAAAGGTATTCGTGCTCAATTTGTTGCAACAGCAACGGTTCCCGCCTGACATTCCCCCGCAAGTTACTCAAATTTGCGCTCTTGCTCGCGACTTCTCCACAATTTTCTCAGGAATCGCGCTCTCGCGTTTCAGTGCTTGGCGCTTCGCGTATCCCCAGCAGCCCCTCCAGAAACGATCGCAGGAAGGAAGAGACGAACGAGGACAAGGAGGATGAGGCTGCGTTTTTTGGATCTTCAGTGGTGAGGCCTCCTGGCGTCCCCGCAGAGCCTCTTGGGGCTCTCTGGGGGGACGTGGGGCCCTTTCGTACTGGGGCCTTCTTGGAAGCCACGGCTCGAAAAAGAGGGCGGCCCTGTTTCGGGTCCACCTTTGGAGGCCGACGGCGTCTTGGGGCGCTCTCGGGGCGCTCTTGGCTGCCTCTCGGGGCGCTCCGGGGGCTGCCTCCGTGCCATCCCGGGCCCCTCCTGAAGCTCTCTGAGGGCCATCTTGCGGCCGTCTCGAGGCCTTAATTAAGGGGCCCCTCGGAAGCCCAGAGGCCGGAGGGCAGACACACAAATGATCCTTGGGTGTTTGAAGGAGTTGGGTCTCTCAGGGCGGTGTCTTGGAGAGCTCGAAAGGTATTTGGAATCGGTTTGGGCGGCCTCGGGCCCTCTTGGAGTATGTCGGAGGCTATCTTAAGCCATCTTGAAGTAGCTCGGGCCATTTTGGAGACAGTCCTGCAGCAGCTGGGGCCTTTTGGGAGTCATGTTGGACGCTCTACAGCGCCGCGGCCCCCCCCCCGGCCAGGCCCAGTGGAGGGAGTAGGGAGAGTGGTCCAGGCACCGCTCCCGACGCAAATCTCACTCCCAACCGCCCTTTCAATCCATGTCGGCGGTGAGCTCGGGGAGGACGGGAGAAGGGGCGGGCCTTCTCAGAAGGCTCGGAAGGCCTCGGGCCTTTGAGAGTTTGTCTCTCAGAAGGCTCGGAAGGCCTCGGGCCTTTGAGAATTTGTCTAAGCCTTCCCCGAAGACGCGGAGAGCTTCTCGGAAGGCCAGAGGACTTCGGATGAGCCCCGCCGTCTTCCGAGAAGGCCTCCTCCTCCTCATTTCCCCCCTGTTGGTCGCCGCCGAACATGGAATACGCAGCGGTCGTCTTTGGATGGGCAGCTACTGGGAACCAGTCAGACCCTTGGTGCACGACGCTGGGGCGGGGTGCGCCACGTCGGCCCCCACCACTCCTGTCGACAACCGTGCACCATCGCGGCGGAGTGGCCATCACAACGTCTGGTTTCAAGAGGGGAAAAAACACACAGACACAATTAATCGGCGATTCCCAGAAAATATGGGAAAATATGGGAAGTGGGGGGGGAAGACAAAAACCCCGAAAATATGGGAAAATATGGGGGATATTTTTATTTGCGTGTATTTATTTGTGTGTCCCAGTTCCCCTTCATGGTTGGCCTGCACCCAGCAGGCAATGTGCCAGCACCCCCGCGCCGCCCC